GGGTTTAATTTTGGTAATCATTTACTATTTTTGTCTGTTATATGTTACTATACCTGGTGGTAAGTTAAACATAATATTATTAAATTAGCTTTAGTTAATATTATTATTCTTTAACGAGATGCATTGTGGATATAATACAACTACCTGACATTCTTCTAGTAACCCAAGCGTCGAAAATAGGATAACTTAGTTTAAATTCGAAAACAGCTTGTTCAACTCTATAAAGCTACCTTTTTTCAAAGCTCCTGGAGAGCTTTTGCAATGGCCATTTATTGTATATTTTCTGAAATGGCTGTATTTCAGCGTACTTGTAGTTTTAGCATTTGTTCATGTAGACCATGATAGATGAATCGATGTATGTTATGTTAAAAAAACAATTATTATAAAAAAGGTATATTTTTTTGGAATAACCTAATTTTACATTACAGAATCGTAAATAACTTTTATGCTTTGGAATGTAAAAACGACTAAAGTAATCAAATACTACTACCACTACATTTCAAATTAAGGTACTTTAATGTAAAATGCTTATATAACTGGTATTGTGACCGTATCGTATCGTAAAGCCAAAGCTTTGTTTCTGGAAATGTTTCAAGAACCGTCAATTAATTGCGGTTCGTTTTCTACGTATTCATAAAGGATGTGTTTAGAACAAATATCAAGAATGACGATTAATGTTACGTTATACTATAATTGGATAGAGCAGAGTTGGCCAAGTGGTTCCAACGTGCGACTCCCATCCCTGTGTCGTAGGTTCGGTCGGGTTGTAGTGCCATTGGTATATATGTCGCAGTACAGTAGTTAAATCAGAGTGTTAATTGAATCTCTAGATAGTTAATTGAAGATCGATATTCAATCAAGTCGCTAAAGTTCCGTCAGACAAGTGACAGAAGGAAACGTTTAACGAGTTTCCTAAACGTTCCTAGACAACAAGACGCATTTCACCTTTGGTATGGTGACGAAGATATTTGATTGGGAACAAATATACATTTATATATTTTCCTATATACATATATTGTCGTATATATTTTCCTAAATAATATTTAATTATTTAGGAAAATGAATAGCCAATAAAAATAGATTTATATATGCGAGCATTACATACGATGGTTGAGGAAAGAATTCAAAGTATAAAAACATTACTAAACAATAACCACAAGACGAGGGTAAGAAACCACACAATCACGACGGTTTCAACACATAAATGGAAAGAGTTAAATGTATCAAGTCTTTCTTGAGGAACATAGAACGAACTTTACGATAACTACATCAACTATTCGTATAAAATAATGTCAGAATTTAATTGTTATACTTTACAATTGATAATTAACAACTCGAATCCTATCTAAATTATGCATGTTTCCGAGTAGTTCCAATTGCGCCAAGAGCATTGCATATTTCCATACAAAAATTCAATTCGAGGTCGGTCCGTGAAGCGAAGTGCCCAGGAAACTTCCGAGCTTCGAGAAGGCTGGCTTAATTAGCCAGGACGTAACACAACGGACCAAATGGGCGTCTAAGTGCGGAAACTGAGTCCACACTACACGAGTACTGTGCACTATGAAATAACATGGACAACGAGAGAGTATAATAACTACATATTATTCGTAATCACATTTCCAAGACAATTTCAAAGTTATTGGTAGGTTGGTATTGGTAATTATGATTGGTTTTAGTTATGGGTTACTTTATTGACAATTAATCCTAGGCTTCTTAAAGCCTCCTTAGGTGATCGCTCAAAACGTCGATGTCCGTAGTCTGAGGGTGAGAATATAAATTTAAGACAAAACTACGGCGCGTTTCGTTTGATTGTGATTGGCCATGAGCATTTTAGTCCTTCACGCGCAGACGCAAAATTATAAATTTGTCCAATAACAATTAAATGTACGTATAAAACCTGAGTATTTATAATAAGGGAGAAAAAGGATAATAAAGACGCTTGCGTCGATGTTATGAAAACGTTAAGAACAATGTTGAGTGATACGAAAACATGCAAAGTAGTGAAACAATTTGAAGGCTCTATTGAGAAAGATTGTTATAGATTCAGATGTAAGCTTGAAAGAAAGGTGCGCCTGCGATGTTCTCAAGGTAACGCTCACATTCTGTACTATTTTGTGGAACAGTGACGTGAATAGAAGTATTTATTTTTAATGTTAAGTCATTATTTCGCTACTTTGAATACAAAAATCCGAATATCCCAGTAACACAATGGCGTTTAAGGGCTGGTAGAAATCTATATTTTTTACATTTATCTGTCATCTAAATGCTGGAGGTATTTTAAAGCTTAAACGGGCCAAGTGCAAGAAGACGATGTGGACCGTAAAATACACGAAGACATTCGATAACTCTAGTTAGATAAATGTTTTCGCTGGTTTATCTGCCAAAAAGCTGTTGTATAAGCTTATGGTTCTTTTTATAACATATGAGGTAACATTTAAGCTTATAAAATCAACGCTGTTGTGAAAGTTAGAAGTCTCATAATTGGCTATCACTAATTGGAGAAGCTTTCGTCTAACTAACAATGACAATATATTGAGGTAATAGGAAAAAATATATTAGGATAAGGGACTAAGTTTGTTTGACCTTACCGGCCCAGCATAGTAAGCGTCCTGGTCATGTGCATATTAAATTTAGTTCTCTCCAAAATTTCATTGCTTTTAATCCTGTTGTTTTGAGGGGAATGAAAACGGACATGAGACAGGAGGAATGTGGAAAAGAACAGGATAGCAAACGTATTATTATTATTTTATTTTTTAGTTTTCGTTATTATTACTTTTTTATTATTTTGTGGTTGCTTGTTTAATTTTGCCCTTGCTAACTTGCTTATGATCTTATTAGATTTTATTATTATAAAATCTGTGTAAAATTTGTGATGTGATATTTTGCTGTATAAATTTATACATACACGTTGTTATAGAACTTATAAAAATAAATAAAACATAATATTGAAGAAGTCTCTTCATATTTCTGTTCCCAACAGTCGCGTCTGGCATTTGACTAAAGGTTAAAATTAACTGCGCTCGAACTGACTACACTTAACAGACTATATATTTCGATGATCTATTCTTCTATTACTGTCATATTATACTATGATTATTTGTCATCAATCAATATGGAGCAATTATTACATTTGTTTAAGCTGCTTATACACTATTAAATATATTTTCTATTACTTTTATAACGGAAACGTATTCTGGGAAATTTACTTGTATGTTTTTTTTCTAAGCCGTACTATGCAATTAGAACATCGATTATAGCTATCCCAACTTAGGCCCATATTCTAATTCGTATGTGACAATGAAAGAAGAAGAAATGGTTTGACAGCAGTTTGACTGACGTTCTAGGATCTTAAATTTGCAATCAACGTATTGAGGGGCAAGACCAAGAACGCAGCAATTCCAAGCGTCACTCATTGCTCCGATCACTGCTACCTGATCGGAGCAAACAAACAGTCCAAAAATCGGCTATAATGCGACTTTACTTATTAAGAAGTTTATATATTCCGCACTAGTAACTTTGTGACATGCCGGGAAAGACTAAAGTCAAACCCGTAAATAATTTCTATTAGATTAAGATAGTTCGTTATAAGTAAATAGAATCTATTTAATACCTTTAGGCGTTCTTTCTGACAATATAACATAGATTTGTGTGTAATTTGTTAAATTGATATATTACTTTGTGTAATGTAACTGTTAATAGTCGAGGGAAACAAATAAATAATGTATTAATGTTTCTGTCTAAATTGTAACAGAAGAAAAGATTAAACCCCCAAGTAAAATTTTTCATGTTGCTCATGTGAAAATATTTGGCAGTATCAAAGACACCTTGTTCGTAGAACCCGTGACAGAAAAATTAATAGTGACTCTTTTAAGCTTTTAATTTAATGTTATAAATTAAAGCTCCCCGCCATATTATAAACTAGTACAATATAAAAAAAGATTGCAATTAAATTCAATAAAACATTTATTATGACAAATCACATTGGTTAAACATCTATTTTTAATAAATAAAATAATAGCTGTACAGAAATAACTTAATGTAATAAATGCAATTTAAGCTTAACAATTTTAGGTACATAAAAAATGTTAAAACTTAGATATTTACGGTTGGAACTCTGTTCCAACATGTTGAGAAAAAAATATCGTAACAACTTAACTGTCAACTGACTTTGACATTTCCCTAGCCTATTAAATGTACAAAACGAATCTTAAAACATTATTTAAGTTACAATAACATATTTAAGTACATAAATCACAATAATTAAGCTAATAATAATTTAAGTAGGAACATCGATGTCGGCGGGTAACTTGCTGCATATTTTTTTCATTTATCTGTAATAAATAATTCACGTTAGAACACTTATTAAAAATTTAGTTTTAGGTAACACTTTACGTCTTGTGAAATATCGGAGAATAAGTCGACTGATATATTTAGTTCATACGGAATGGGGACACAATGTTTTAGTAGTTTACGAGAAGCCTTGGTCAAAATATTTCATGATAAATAACGTTTTACATGCATACATTGCATACATTGCTAAAAAGCTTTTTCATTATACAATCCTTTTTTCTATTGCAAAACAATATACAACAACAAAACAATTTAACACCATCTAAAAGATCCAATAAGGAAACTAGTAAGTTATACTAATAACAACATATAACTAATAAACATAAACATCATATAAAACAAATTATAAACATAATCTAAACAATTTTTGTTTATTCGAATTAAATAAATGTTTCGTTAGATTATGTACATCAATTTATTTTGATTACATTCGATTTATTATATTTTGACGAATTAAAAAGTAGACACTTTTGTTTGTTTGTTTTATAAATGTATGTTTGATAAGACTACAGCTTACAAGTTCATGGACTTCGCCGTACAGGAGTTTCCCAAAATAAGTCTCAACCTTGCCATGTAGCAGGGGGTTTAGGTCGTCTAGTTAAATAAGTCTTGTATCAGCTGTTCAAAACTTTCTAGAAATGTATACACACCTAACCCCGAAGAACATACAGAAACGTTGACGCCGTGTCCGTGCCATAGCTATTCTTGACGGTGCAGGTGTATTGACCCATATCTGTTTCAAAAGATAAGTCCTTGATGTGCAAATCACCAGAAGGCAGTACCTGGAAACATTTACAGAGTTTAGTAATTAATTTTGTCATCTTTAAAAGAATTTGAAATAAATAATATCGTTCCACAACTGAGCGTTTTTTAGGGCAGTTTTTGCCGCTGCCCACTGAAGTATTTCCGTACCAATTTGACTGAGGGTCTTTCACGAAAAGAGCGTACCAATTCTTAAAAAGCATGTCAACCCACTTGCGAACCTTCTGGCAATGTGAGTGTTCATGCTCCTGTCTGTTTGCCCCCTTTTATAAAAAAATAGGAAAAGAACATCATAAGTTCCATGCTAGCAAGTCTAAAATAAAAACTTTAATAAATAATTAGGGTCCAAACCACTTAAAGGGCACTACGGTACAAGATTTATGCGCCTTATAATATTTGATGGCAATGTGTAATACCATGAAACTTAAAGAATAATCTTTGTAGACTTCAGTATTAATTTTTCTTTTACTTTTGTTTATATAGCAATAAATCTCTTTTTTAAAGGATGATAAAATTAGTTCATCATATCTAAGTATATTGTATAAGTATACCTACTAACAAAAATCTTTTTTTTTTGGTTACTGTAATATAGCAACTACCAACTATTGTAAAACAGGAAATAAAAAGGCTTATTATTATTATTATTACAATCATCTAAGTATATTATTTTTTAATCCCTATTGTTTTATTTTGATGGGCTCACTAAGAGTTAGTCAAATCTGTCTAAGTGTCCACTTTCAGTAAGTTCAGGAAGATACAAAGTTCAGCGCTTCGCGACTCCTGTCCAGATCGGTGGAGGAACGATATCGTCCATTTCTGACCTAAAGGGGGGAAGATCCTCAACCAGTCTAATCACAGACTTACCCAAAAACCCCACTGATATCGAAAAATATCATATACTCAATTGGGATAACTTAGTTCCAGTACGTTTTTGATATACGGAAGTTAGAGATAACTCTCGGCTGTGTCTTACCCAGAGTAGTTTTGCAATTCTTTGTGAAATCTTTAATAATTGTGTATAAATGTTTCTTTCAATATAAAATCAATACAAACCCTCATTCTGGAATTGTCAAAGATGAGTTCCTCATCCCTGTCCAACCAGTAGACTTGCGCTTTCGTTGGGCTGTAGTGCCGGCAAGGCAGTGTGATGCTGGAGCCCATCACCTGCAGAATGCTGTTGTAGTATGCCGTGATGAGTGGTGCTGTTGGTAGCTCTAATTCTTCGGAATCTGTAAAAATGATTATTCTTATATATCTTAACTCCTGGTTATACTGAAATCTTTCTTGCTTAAATTGTTTATCGTAATGTAGATTCTAATCAAAATCAAAACCCAATAAATTTTAGATATACGAAAGTCACACTCTAAATGCTTTTTTAGTTTACATCTAGGTTTGAAATTTATGGCCGCGTTCTATAACATTCTAAAATTTTAAAATACCCTCTTTTATTGTAGAATCTTAATTTTTATATGTAATTGTGATTCTATCTTATAAGTCTTCTGTTTCTTGCCTACTGTTATAGTTTTCCTTTTTTTACTAGCACAATTAGTTTATTAGCTATGTATTACTAGTTATTTACTAGTTACATATTAATAATGGTAAATAAACATCTTTAGTTGCCTTTGAATGTTTGCTAACTGTTTTAAATAGGCGCAAATGATTTGGAGCTAAAGTATATAGAGTATTTCGTTTTTATAAATAAAAGAATACCTTCATCTGTGTAAATAGTGGTCGAATTAGTCTTCTGCTTAGAACCAGCCGTGCCCACACACGTGTAAACATCGCCGTTCGCTGGAGCAGGTACCACTAGTTTGCTCATAAGTCCTGCCACGCTGGTTGGATGACTACTGAATATTTCGTTAGAGTCTTCTTCAAACTGCAATTAAAAACATGTATTGTAATTGTGTTGTATTTCAGTGTGCTTATGTAACACGGGGAAGGTATTTCTTCTTCATTGAGTGTTTATTACAGTCCCAGTGGTAATAATTCGACGCATACGAAGCATTATCGCGATATAATCTGTATCAACGAACGTTTCACGGTAGGCGTAAAAGACTCCATGCTTCATTAGGGGAATTTAAATATTGAAATTCTTTTTCTTTCGATCAAGTATGTCTTGCAGACTTGCAATTTGGAAATAAATATAGCAAAGGTGAATAAAAAAGTATTTTGTGACAAAAGCCTAAATTAGCTTAGATCGTGCATTGCGCGATGTTACGTCTTCTCTATGCTGCTGTACGACGTAGAATCTTGGACGCTGACGAGACTATGTCCGAAAAAACTGGAAGCGTTCGAGATCTGGGTTTATCGACGTATGCATAAAATATCTTGGACAGACCGCATACGAAATACAACCGTGCTGGACAGAATGCAGAAGAACAAAGGAGTGCTTATGACGCTTAAGAAAAAGAAACTTGAGTATAAGTAACACCAAAAAATATGAGCTCCTTCAACTCATAGGCAATGTGGCAGGTAGAAGGAGACTTGGCCGCAGACGCACGTCTTGGTTGAAAACCTTAAGACAATGGTTTGGTCAAAGCGCCAAGTCATTGTTTAGAAGTACGGCCTCCAAAATTAAACTAGCCATGATGATCGCCAACCAAGGCATCGCAAGGATATGATGATATGGACTATAAGAAGAAAGGTGAATTCGATATCGGTCCTGAGTATCTTTGTTACAAACTCTTTCCACTTTATGTTAGTTGAGAAGTCTCTCAGTATTAGAAGACAAAATGATGGAAGTATAATCAAGGAAAGGAACCCTAGAATTTAATTATTGTTTATAGGCCCAATGTTCTACAGCTAAATTACTACTCCAGTACTAACAGGACACATGCAAGTATAATACAGCCTGAAGGTAAAAATAACTGAATCAAATCTTGAGCACACACACACACATCCGTACTATTCCACGTTTATATGAAGGTATATTTATTCAACATTACAGTGGGAAAGTTCGGATTGAAAATGTATTTGGATATTAGCTTACATCAGTTATTGCTAGTCCATTCTTCAGCCAGGTTACGACGGGAGCAGGTTTTCCCCAAATCACACACTGCAGTACAAGTGGTAACTCTGGATTAGTGATGATTTCAGGAAGTCCTTGGTCTATCTTCACATACTTGTGAAGCTCTCTTCGACGAGGGGTAGGGATTTCTGGAATCAAAGACGTTTTTGTAAATACCTCATGATTATTTCAATGAATTTTTCGTATACGTTGACACGTAAATAAAATATTGTTTGAACATCTCAATGTTTTCTTTGCTCGAATTTGGCGCCAAGACCACAGATTAAAATTAGATGATAAAGTTTTATGTTTTCTAAATTTGAAATGAGTTTTTATATTTCAACATTTATCTATCGCGCATTTTTTAAAAATAACACACAAGGCTGCCTATGTCTTATAATCGTTTAATAATCTAAGACCCGTAAGAAAAAAGTAAAAAATCTAGATTCATTCAGGACAGACATAATGCGCACATCTGGTGAATATATTGACTCGTAAAACACCCGACATTATTAGAAAGTTAAATTTGTAAAAACCTAGCCGAATTTAACCGCCGTTTATCCAATAGAGTAATCTGTGACCTTTTGAATTCACATCTTATTAATTTGTACATACCTAGTTAATTTTTTATATGCGTTTTTAAGAGGAATTCAATAGTAATACTCAAAGGTAATAAAGATAAATAAGACTTAAATTTTAGGTGACTGATGAGCCCTTAGGGCAAACCTGCAGGGAAACGTTTATAGTATATAAACATCAGAATATTTTTTTTAAATATCTAAATAGTAGCCTATAAAGCACGTGATTAGGTAGATCTATGGCTGAGGAGCTAGGCTACTGGGGAGTGTCAAATATCCCCATTCCTAAATAGGGCCTTTATTTGCTTAAGATAAGGACTGGTGGGCTTGGCGTCTCTCGCCAGGCCCGGGCGACAAATCCTCATGATATTTATGGGCGAGTCGGAACCCGCTGGCACCAGACTATTAGATTATTTATGATGCTACTACACTAACATCTCAAAGGTGAATTAAATTCAAGTACTGAGAAGAATAAGCGATATTAAAATAATCCATAAATGTATGTGGGTTAAAGGTTTATTAATGAATTCAAAGAAATAATACAGCTGAGTTCGATTTAAATTTCATGATTTCCGCCCATACCGCTGTATGAATTTTTACTGGCATGCTAATATTGAAAGCGGAAGTATACTCCTGATAAATCAACTTAATGATAAATAAAAAGCCCGATAAATAGGAAATTTATCCTGGAATTTGAGTACAAGCTCGGCAATGTCGTATAAAATATCGTTTGTATGGAAGTATTAGTTCTGACCGTAACCACTAGGGGCGCTGTATGCGATTATTATCGTTAGAATGAGCTTACGATACCTCATATCTCTTACAATTTTTAAGTTATATTCGTAACCAGGCAGAAAAAGTTTGATTTCTACTAAGATATAGATTACCTAACAATAATCTAAACTTGTCGGGTTTCATTCACAGGGAAACTAAAGAAGTTACGACAATAAATTATTGAACATACACTGAAAAGCCTCTTGGTTAACGAATAATTAAACTTATATTACACCAATACTAACCATTTGATTCTAAATTATTATGATGAATTAACTTTGGTCTTTCTAGGAGTGCGTAAGCTTGCCTGGAGCATTGCAGCGACACCAGCGCCGCGGTGACAAGTAGCGAAACTAAATTGAACATTTTTCTTTTTAACGGTAGATGGCGCTAGGTGAGTATTATTTGGTACGATCTGTAACAATAAATACATATTTTAATTTACAAACTTAATAATAATATGAGTAAAATCTTGTTCTAATTGAGTAAGTAACAGCTTAATGTATATAGTTTAGTGTAATATTATTGGAAACCCAGAGATTCGAGGCATTTCGACTTTTATTGCATAGCAATTTGTATTGAAGCAACTCTATTGTCAAGAATAGAACTATCGGACCCGTTTATCTGATCAGTCAACTGAAAGTAACAGTCAGGTCCTTATGCCTCACACAATGTTATGGGACGCCTGAATAATTATGAACGCAAGTAAATTATTAACGTGGCCGCCGCACTCGTGATGGAATGTTAGAGCGATATTTTTTACTAATCTTGTTAGAAAAAAACGCAACAAGCCGACGACTTTTTGGGTCTAAGGCAAGTCGGTTTCCTCACGATGTTTTCTTTAACGTTTTACGTTAAAGGCGCACATAGAAAGAAAGTCCATTGGAGCACAGCCGGGGATCGAACCTACGACCTCAGGGATAATAGTCGCACGCTGAAGCCACTAGGCCAACACTGCAAAAATTACTTTATAGGTACTATTTTTCGCGCTATACTATGCATACATTTGTAATGTCGTGTGGATTCGACTTCTGGCCTAGAAGTAAAGAACACCGGACCAAGATAGAGTTAGCTTAGTAGAAGATTGAATCTTGCGTGAAATTGTCACAACCAGCACTTGGCTATACAATGATATAGGATCTTGGTCCCAAAAGTCGATGACGTGGGAGTGATAGACCGCGTTTTTATATAATAGGAGGCAAAAGGGTAGGAGGCTCACCTGCTGTTAAGTGATACCGACGCCCCTAGACACACTGCCAGATGGCTCGCACGTGCGTTGCCGGCCTAATTAAACTACTCGCCACGTGCAACGTTTCCTCTAATCATCAAAAAGGAGGCCCCTATTCTATACATATATTTAAATTATGTTCTACATATTTAGATATTAATATAGAATAAACATATAATAAAGTACTATAGCGATTGTTGTATAGAACAAGAAACTTTTCTGATACTATGATGCCTTTGTACTTACTTACTTTGTACTTCAGTAGCGATAATTTCTTTATTTACGTTGTATTAAAAATAAGCCAAAAATAAAAAAAACATAATTGTAATACATAAACAGAACATTCCTTTTAATGCATCTAATGCAAATAAATGCTCGCTAGGAGGTATTGAAATATCATTTGCGTTTGTTACTGCATATTATTTTCAATTGAAACAATTACCTTTATTGCCTGAACTTATAAGAAATTAATTAATAAAATGCGACTATTATGAGCTAGGGTTAAAACACAAGACCCGAACGTAAATGACATTTTGACCGTCAATAAAAAGATTGTACGCGATTTAATTTAATTCATGTTTTTCATTTAATTTTATTGAAATATAAAATGTAAGGGGGGGTTAATGGGGCCTCAACGTCTAATTTCATTCTATTAGGTACTTATTGTAAAATATCTTTCACTAATTCAATAGTCGTAAAATCAATATATACTCATCAATTTGTAAATAAACCAAGTATGTACATACTTTACAGTTAACAAAATTTTTTTTAGGTTTAATTACATTTATTCTATTGCTACTTCTGTATTTTACAACTATTGAATTAGTGGAAGGTATTTTAAATTGATTACCTAATAATTAAATGATTATATATATAGTTTTTATATCTCCAATTATTTAGTTAAAAAAATAACTAATACATAAGGTATGTTATGTAGAGGTTTATTCATAGTCTAGTTAAAAATATATCGTAATTGAAATAAAAGACTGAGAAAGTGAAAATTAAAAAGAAAAACACCAAACAAACTCTACGATGAATACTTCGCAATTCACTGAACACACAACACTCTCTTACCTCGCTGTTGTCTCTAATACGTATCTAAGTTGAATACGATCCTGATCACAGAATCAAACCCTTTTATACGGTCCGGACTTCGTGAACACACTAGGTGGTTTTTCTCCTCATTTCAATATAATTTCAGTCAGAGTGAAAATTACTATCAAGGGAAGTTTTTTTAATTCAATATAATATTCAAATGTATTACATATGTACAAATCAGGCAATTTTTTAAAATTTTAATGTGTTATTTACTTCGTAATATTATTCATCTGTTCTTGGCCTTTTTATTCTGACAAATTTGGTATTAGCTGAGCTTGTTAGCATGTATGATATTTTAGAAAATGGTGAATTCTGCCTTCTGAAAGCTTTTTAAAGCTTTAGAAATCACAACAATACTAAACTGTGTCAACGGCTTTACATTTCAAATTCTACTATTTTTCAAAATGCATGCAGAATAAAAATCTTCATAAATAATATGTTTGTATTAAGGAATTTCAAATCGTTTTTTCTAACGGTCAGAAAAAAATTAAACCAAACAGAATATTTGCTTCTTTAAACAGTATTGGACGTGCCAATGGACGTATGTTGATGTTTTTTTTTAGTTTTATGTACTATAACAGCTATATTCACTTTTCTATTAATATCTTTTGATTCCTTGATTGGTCACAAAATATCAGTCTTTAAATAGTTATTTTCTAAATTTCGTACTAGAAACGTGTAAAGACATAAACCAAGACATATAATATATAAGTATAAGACACATTATGTACTTTTTACTGATCTTTATTTAGGACAAATATATGAATAATTGAATCCGTAATAATGCTTGTTTCATAAAGATTCGAACTAAAACATATAAAATTAAATTAGCCTTATACAGACATTTAAACGTGATATAATAAATTGAAGTTAAATATTTGATCTCTCCTATCGTAAAACCTTCGTATCCTCGATCAATAGCCAATAGATCGAATTTGATACATCCGTTACGTCTACGGACAGACAGACATCTTATCAGCAGCTGCGGAAAAACGGCAGATGGGAAGTATTAGGAATGTAGGGGGAAAACGATTACCGAATTTATTATATTATATTTTATATATTTCCTTATTTTAGGGGACTCGCCTGCGTTGATAGAACTGAAATACAGTTAGACTTAACGGATCTTTCTCCTTTTAACCGACTTCAAAATATACAGGTTATCAGTTTGACCGATAATATTTGTGTTGTGATAAATTTCGTAAATTATGTTTGTAATAAGATATATTCTAACTTGGGTAACAGTAAACAGATTTGGTCCAGTATTTTTTTTTGTATATTCAGGTTTTTTTCTTCTTTTCTATTTTTCTAAATAACATTTTAACAAAAATGAAATCTTAATAAATCATTTAGCTTATTGAAATTGTTTATTTATACATACCAATTTAACGAATATATTTCATAAATCCTTCACTAATATGTAAAAAATAAATTGTGTTCGATTGTCACGCAAATGGAGAATGGCTGAACCTATTTGGCTAAATATGGTCATGAAATATTTGTCTATCACAAGGGATGGTTATAAACCGGGGACATAAATAATAAGTAATGAAATATTCTAAATACGACAATTGAATTTCCTGGCTGTGTAATATTAGATGTCTTTGGTCACCTGTTTGTAATATAGTTAAGATGCTTTCAGAAATTTGTTCACCGGGTTATCATATTAATGTAAGTCAAGTGGTTTGTATTACTAAAACTGGCGCGAAATTAGGACATTCCTGTCAAAGATATTAAATTATCAAAGTTTTCCTCATTCTGACAATTATGTCATGAAAAGCTTAATTTGTCATAGAACGTTCTTTCCTTCTTATTCCATTGAAACATAAATCTACGTGGCATATTATTGTATCATGTGATAATCATAAAAAAGGACGGCCCCTTTTTTTAAGTGCAATGATGCACAAGCAATAATGAACTTTGAACCTTCACATATAGGGTCTATTCTTTTTTCACTGTTTTAAAGTTTTAACACAGCTTGTAGAACTTGTAGCACTATAATTGTGTTCCTAGAACCAATGTGTCATGACACGTGAGTTTCCCGCCAAAACTCGTGAAAATAGGGCTGACATTAAAAAAAGTTTAGCGTGTCGAAAGGCCTTCCTATCGGCGAGTAAAAAACTAAATGATGATATTAATTTATCCGTAATGGGAAAGGCAAAGGTCTTTAGTCCATACAGCCAGGTAAAAAAACTAAACATCGAAATGACAATTGATTTATTAAGTCTTTTAAAAATGACTGTATTTTTCAATATATTCTATCTTATGTTACTATTTAAATAGGTTTTGTTAAGATTATCGGACTTCAAAGAACTTATACGTAAAGAAAAGGATCTCAGATATGAATTGAATAACCTTTTATAGAAATGTTTGTTACTTTTTCGCAGTAGCAACCCTAGATGACATTGACCTGTCATAAAAAAACGGAACTAAACCAATGAGAAGTGACGTCGTCATATTTCATCATTTTTTATCAATTAAATCTTGGAACTGGTGATTCATTCATTGAATATGTTGTCGTGTTACGTCACTGGTGTCTTTAACTTCAGAAACCGTTGTATATTTGATTATACGATCTAAGAGCGGTATCGCTACACAGTCTTATTGTTCTCGTTATGAAATAGCAATTACTACAAAAATATATACTTACTATACAACCGTTCATCCCTTATCCCGTTGTAAGTGGATTTTTATAATCCCATATGTTTGTTGACATAAAATAACGATTTCTTAGACATATCTAAGAGAAAGTTATGCGTAAGGGTCGACACCGAGTCATCTAAGTAATCTTAAATCATATTAGTTTTAAATAATTTAATTTAATTAATAATTGAATTAAGTGTTTGCATATTATGTCTTAAAATTAGGGAAGAATTATGTATCTAATGTTTTGTCTGATGTGACTCTTTTTAACCTGTATATAAACTAGATTTGTTTATTAGCTATTAGTACGTATGGATTCAATTTATACCTATTCCTAAAATTAGATTTTTTATTGTACTGCCCGCTTGCGGAACCAAAAGCTCGACGCCGCGCCGTA